TTATTTTTTACTAGAATTATATATATATATATATATTTAAGCATTACGACCCGAGCAAGGCGTGAAGCCACTAGGATGCAGGGGGTTGCGGAAGATTTGGAGCGAGAGCGGATAGGAGTGATAGAAGAAAGGATGAGGAGAAGTATAGTGGGTAGATCAAGGTAACTGGAGGTGTCGATTGACATTACATTTGAATAGTTGGAGATTATAGCTTTCAGGGAAACAGTAATTGGGAGGGTGTTCCACTGGCGAGAGGTGCGAGTTATGAAGCTATTGTTGTAGAAGAGACGGCTACATTTAAAAATTTCTATAGTGTAAGGGTGGGAGCGCGATGCCAGCCTCGTAGGGCGCTTGAATTCATGGAGTCTGGGATCCAGTGAAAGCAGCTCATCGGAGCAATTACCATGGAGGTATTTGTAGAAAAGACATATATATATATATATATATATATATATATATATATATATATATATATATATATATATATATATTAAAAATTAATATATCGATTACTGCTACCGTATTCTACTTGGTTATAGTAGCCAAAACCACTTAGCTACTTCGTTCAAATATATCCCTATATATATATATATATATATATATATATATATATATATATATATATATCTTTGTGTGTGTGTGTAATTTTAGTTGGTAAGATAACATATGTTTTGATTCAATGCGAAACAAAAGGCCCGTAAAATATTCCAAAACAAAAAAAAATGGCGCCTTCTGACAAACAGCTATATATAAATGTTAACAAAGGCACCTCGAAGTGGTGTAAAGGTTAGCAAGCTTGTCTCGCTACACCTGTTTTTTTTTTTTTTTTGTTTTTTTTTATTTAATTAAACAATGAAGCTAATAACAACTGGCTTAAATTGAGATGTCCTACTAAAGAATATTTTGCCTCCAACAGAAATAGAACATTCATCCGTTTGTCTTTTTTTTTTCCTTTTTTTTTTTCATCAGAGAAATCACGTTTTGAGCCGAAGTGTCCTAGTATCAGATCAGCCACGGAGAGCAGACTGAGAGCCAGATTGGAATTACCTATTAAAAGAAAGCATGTTTTCGCATTAGGTCTTCTACGAATCTATATCTGCTAACTTCAGTTTGGTTCTCGAAATGTAAACAACGGTAATTTTTTAAAAGATTGTTTTTTTATCCGACATTATTTTTTATTTAATAGGACTTCTTAATTCGGGCCAGTTTTTTGTAATTCCACTGTTTAATGAGATAAAAATTCAGGGTTAGCAACTCAATCAAGTGTACTCACTAAAAATAACACTTTTAGTAATAAGAAACATATATATATATATATATATATATATATATATATATATATATATATATAGTTTTTTGTGGTACAAAATTTAATAATAGATAGGAAAAGACAAAATTTATAAGGTATTTTTAAAAGAAAAAGCTAAAAAAAAAACAACCGGTTTCGTCCCAGAACTTATCAATTTATTTTTTCCGGTAATAGAAAATTTAAAAAGCGTGTAAATTAATTTAAATTAACGAATGGAATGTAATAGAAAAAAAAATGAATTTCAAGAAACTAGAGTCCAATAACATTCAGACCCAGTAAGCATTCCCTCTGTTTACAAAGGGAAGGCTTACGAGATCCGATATAGAAGGACTCTAGATCCTTGAGGTGAAATGTGGAGTTGTACCTAGATAAAAACAAAAAACGGCCCACACTAAAATTAACCACACATTTCCTACTATTTATTATATGCTCAGCAATAGCAGAGCCAGAACTGTTGGTCAGTTGGCTCTTCCTGACAGACGGATTCAAAATCCTGGGGGGTAAATGTTGTTTTATTCTCGAATCCAATTTGATTTACACTGATTTACAATGTTTAAAAAAGGAATGTCTACTCAAACACAATATATAGGTATGATAAAAACATACATATACGCACATATACTTGCTTGTACATAAATATGTACAGTGTAACCCGAATATAAGAGACCCGGATATAAGAGAAACCCGGATATAAGAGAGATTTTCTCTAGTCCCAAATTAGAGCCTGTGTTAATGTATATATAATAGACCAAACCCGGATATAAGAGAAACCCGGATATAAGAGACTTCTTCTCCGGTCCCGACAACTCTCTTATATCCGGGTTACACTGTATTGCTTTTCAGCTGTTATAAAAACAGTGCCCAATGTTATATAACAGAGCTATTAGGTATATATTATGTATATTTAATTATATATATATATATATATATATATCTGAAAGCAGGCTAGTATTAATGATCGTTTCCCCTACAAGCGAGAAGCAAGTCCGAACCATGCTGGAAGACATGTTTTTCTTTATTAAGAATTTCGAATGCACAGACTGATTTACACTGTTTAAAAAAGGAATATTTACTCAAACACAATTATCTACTATATATTAGGTTGTCACACATGAAATGGCGCATTCATCTGGTCCTCTAACTAAATAACCTCTATAGTATATAAAGACTCTTCACTTATTCCTGACACTTTTTCTTTCCAGATAATTTTCTCTTCAATATATTGTTAGTCATAAGCCCAACGAAAATCATTACAAAGAAACAATGTCGATTAATCTTACTGTATGAGTACAAACTGGGAGAAAAGTACCATTTTTTTCATCGATGAGAAATGGATACTCTTTGACAACAGTAAGTAGGCCAGTGGTTAGATGCAAGTGAATCACCAAAACAATTCCCAAAATCTTTACTGCAACTTAAAAAAAAGGCAATGGTTACTGTGTGGTGGTCTTTCAAAGGGGATATTCAATATTTCTCAAGGGAAAACAATAACAGAAACATCGTATTGTGGATAAATTTGGTGTATGCACGAATAACTGAAAAAAACAAAAAAAAAAAAACATTCCAGACTTGTGAATAGGGATGAACCAATTTTGCTACATGAAAAAGTACGACCGCACGCTTCTCAGTTCAAAAGCTGCATAGCCTAAATTATGAAATTTTGTCCCATCCTCCATATTCATCTGATATCTCTCCTACCGATTGTCACTTACTCAAGCATTTTGAGTTTTTCATACGCAATAAAACATTCCCCAAGAGCATTTGAACTGTTTATCACATCAAAGGATGAGAATTTTTAAAGATGGAATCAAGAATTTAGAGGTACGTTGAAGAACAGTCATACATGAACATGGTGCCTATTTCAATTAAAAAAAATTATTAACATTTAAAAAATTATTTAACATTTCAAAGCGTTTTATTCATTTCCTATAAAGTGCGCCATTTCACGTGTGACAACCTAATATAACCTTTAAGTAATAAGGTATATATATATATATATATATATATATATATATATATATATATATATATATATATTTTTTGAACAATAAAAAATTAAAAATTAAAAAATTAAAAATTAAAATCATTAGACACACTAGGTTGTAGATTAATATTCTTTCGTTTTTTATTATTATTATTATTCCATTTAAATTCCTCGACTAGTTTCGACCGAAATGGCCATCATCGGAGGCGAAATATTTCTGCTTGCTGTTAGCAAGGAACTACAGAAATCAGACATATATATATATATATGTGTGTGTGTGTGTGTGTGTGTGTGTGTGTGTGTGTGTGTGTTGTTGTTGTTGTTGTTGTTGTTGTTGTTGTTGGGTTTTGATTCGTGGGTGATATAGTTGCGATTGTCCTACTGGCACCAGTAATTGTGTTTCGGTCTGAGGCAAGGTCTCGAACCGTGAATGCTGATATTTAAAAATGGCAGCGGAAGATGCCTTCAAGAAATTAAGAAAAGTATTAAGAACTAGAATAAAAACTTTAGGAAAAATGAAAGTGTACTGGACTCTTATGTAATATCAGGACTGTTATCATATATATGACAGGTACTGCTGGGCCATCTGCGCACCGATTTGCGGTAACAGAAATGTGGTTCTACAGAAGGATGCTGAGAACACCAAGGACTGAAAACGTGAATAACGACGAGGTTTTAAGGAAATTTGAAACCAAAAGGACATTGATACTTAAAATCAGAAAGTCGCAATTGAACTTTCTAGGGGACATTACGAGAAAAAAACGGCTTGGAAGATTTAACCCACATGTTGAAATCAACAGGAATAGTGGAAAACGGTGAATAGCCTAACTAACGAGTGTAAATGGTTGACAAGGACTAGGAGAGATAGCAAAAAAGTAAACACCGCGAAAAACTACAAGAGATAGAAAATTGTGGAGTACCATGAACGCCTACACCCTAAAGGGACACGGCATATAGAAGAAAAAAGGATCCGAACTTTGAAAAATTGCCTGCAGACCATTTACTAGTGTAGTCAGTTTGATCGCGCTCATTTCTAGTGGCTATGTGCCAGTTTGCATTAAATTTAGTTAACATCTATGTTCTTTATATACAAATAAAATATATTCGAACGGCCTGATAATCCCATACAGGTATGCAGACATACAAACACACACACACACAGACATGCAAACACACACACACACAGACATACAAACACACACACACACACACACAGACACACAGACCCCGACGCTCGTTCACATACACACAATGCCGGTTGTGTTATCACATGATCTGCGATCACAAACATCTGTGGGCGGTACCATGACGTCATTGTCAGGGCTACCACCCCCTTTCGCTATTTATCGATTACCACCAACGAGAAAATCGATACGGCCCAGAGTCTCTCCTAGCGTGACTTGGAGCAGTGATAGATGCCTTCGATTTCCATTGAGAAAAGACTGCCAGAGATGGTGCGTGGGAATGGTGGGAAGCTGAAAAGTGAGATGAAGAAAGACAGGAAGAATCTGACCATGACGACAGTGACTACTACTGCTGCGGTGATGGTCAGTCGGGTTAGGGGCTCGGTGCGGGTAAAGGCGGTGAGTAGAGTGAAATATACTGTGTGTTCACGAAGGAGAGAAGGGAGGGCAGAATTAAGAGCGGGTTGAAGGGAGATAGTGACGGAAAATGAAAACCAAAAAGAAAAGAATATAGAAAGAAAAGTTAAATAAATGTAGAAAGAAAGAAAGAAAGAAAGGAAACAACGCGAGAAACGATATTAGATAAAAAAAAAACGTTAACAAGAAAGAAAGAAAGAAAGAAAGAAAGAAAGAAAGAAAGAAAGAAAGAAAACGTTAACGAATAATAATAATAAAAAAGAAAAACGATGAACATAGACAGAACTGGCGATAAAAGGAAGAACAGAAACGATTAAAGAAAGAAAAGAAATATTAACAGATAAGAAAGAAAGAAAGAAAGAAAGAAAGAAAGAAAGAAAGAAAGAAAGAAAGAAAGAAAACGTTAACGAATAATAATAATAAAAAAAGAAAAACGATAAACATAGACAGAACTGGCGATAAAAGGAAGAACAGAAACGATTAAAGAAAGAAAAGAAATATTAACAGATAAGAAAGAAAGAAAGAAAGAAAGAAAGAAAGAAAGAAAGAAAGAAAGAAAAAAACGTTAACGAATAATAATAAAAAAAAAGAAAACGATAAACATAGACAGAACTGGCGATAAAAGGAAGAACAGAAATGATTAAAGAAAGAAAAGAAATATTAACAGATAATAAAGAAAGAAAGAAAGAAAGAAAGAAAACGATAAAAAGCAAATGAATAAAGAAAGAAGGAAGTCAATGAAAAACAGAAGGTATAAAAGAAAGAAAAAAAGAAAGCGCTAATAAGTAAGAAGCAGCGAAAAGGAAAAGAAAAAACAGACATAAAAGAAGACAAAAGAAAGAAAACAAAAAAGAAAGAACAGAAATGAAAAAGAAAGAAAGATAAGAAACCGATAAAAATCGGATAGAGATATAATAGAGATTAAATTAAATTAAACATTAACACATAAGAAAGAAAGAAAGAAAGAAAGAAAGAAAGAAAGAAAAGAAAGAAAACGACTAAAAATAAACAAAAAATTGAAACGATAAAAGAAAGAAAGAAAACGATTAAAAATAAACACAGAATAGAAACGATAAAAGAAAGAAAAAAGAAAGAAAGAAAGAAAGAAAGAAAGAAAGAAAGAGTAAATTTAAAAAAAAAAAGAGAACAATAAGCATAAATCATCTTTTTATATACCGTGTCCTTTCAGGGCACAAGTGAAAGTTGTCCACAACTTCCTGTTTTTGTCGGATGTAACCTTTAACCGTTTACCATGTCTTTTTGTCTTTGCTTTGCTTTTCAGTCACTGAAAAGCGTTAAGTAGATTACTTGCTGCTTTCCCCTGCTTCACTTCCCTTTTATATGCTTTGTGATGATTAAATTCTCCAAGCCCTCTTTCCTAATCATGGGTTTCAGAAATTTCAGCTCTCCTCTTTATGACTGCAAGTATCAGTTTCTTTGCAGTTCTTATTTTCTTGAACATTCCTCGGGAGGGGCTGCACAATAGTCACTTTGACCATAAATAGAAAGTTTTTTTTAAGGTTTTTTTTTTTTCACATTACTATCAACGAAGAACTCCAACATACGAATATAGTTCATTAAATTTAATAAAAGATAATAGGGGTATAAATTGCTGTGTAAATAAATTGTAAATAGATCAACTTACGCAAGTCAAAACAAAATATGGTCATACCACATGATTTTTTCAAATTTAAGATATATATATATATATATATATATATATATATATATATATATACCAAGTATATGATTGGTATATATGGAATGAATTCCAATAACCAACAAATACTATTCTTAAAAGAGTGCTCAATACAAAAGTAGAGCAGATATAATTATTTATTTAAAAAAAAAAAATTTATAACATAATTATGTTTATAAAATCACTACAAAAATAGCCATTTTGTTTTCAACACCTCCGGTGTCTTATCAAGTGATGATGTTGAATGTTTGATAAGACACCGAGGGTGTTGAAACAAAATGGCTATTTTTGTAGTGATTTTATAACATATTTATGTTATAAATTTTTTTTTTTAAATAAATAATTATATATATATATATATATATACCCCTTAAGGAATTGCATTCCTGATCAAACCAAATTCATGAATAATTCTATTAGAAATACTATTACATGCCTATCAATAAGGCCTCTCTAACCATAGCTCAATTAGATTGATTTAAACACACACGGAAATCTACCAAACTCCATTCGCGACATACTTGTAGAAAATTCAAGTATAATAGCCTCATCAACATGTAAAAAAAGACTGAAAATAATGGAAACACTAATAATAAAAAGAAAAAATACAATACTCAATAACATCATCTATGAACACAGCCACAATCTAGTGACCGTGTTTGGAAAATTAAAAGAAATTCGTGTAACTCTAGACACGTACATTAAAAAAAAAACCTCATATATTCAGTTAAAAATAAAAATAAAAATCATCATTGATAATGGCTAAAAGAATAGCCGGAAGCAGTCGGATATACAGAAGATTTGGATAATTTTACACACTTTATGTTCCGAAAAGAAAACACTTATAGGAACATAAGAAAAATTGAATAAAAGAATTTAATTTGTTTCATGTTATATTTAGCACCTCAATTCCAGAAATTCGTAGATGAACCTTTTTGCAATCGTTCGGCGCAGGAGGTTTCAGCAATTCACTGCCATTTTTCTCAGGATTTCGTTATCTTTATACTAAGTTTGATATAATTAATTCAGGCACTATTTATTGGTACCAAATTGATTTTTACTCTGTGTGTGTGCGTATGAGATAGATAGATAGATAGATAGATAGATAGATAGATAGAGAGAGAGAGAGAGAGAGAGCTCATGTGTATGTGCCTATGTATGTATGTGCCAAATATCGTGATTATTTCTCTTTTTTATCATTTTCTTGTCGCCTTATACTCTATCCCAATTCCCCTTACTTATTTTCTCTCTTAGTTAGTTATATGCCATGCGTAATACACAGTTTAGCGGTCATGTATCTTTCGATACATAACTGACGAGGCAGATTTTTTCCCGCAGTATGTTAGCATTTCTTTCTGCGGTAGACCAGTTGCGATTCAAGGCTATAGAACCCAGCGTGTCCTGCTATTTACCCATAGCTGTGGGGGAGAAGACGAGGATTCATACCTTTCCCAATAGAAATATCCTAACCTGGAGTGCTTATATATATATATATATATATATATATATATATATATATATGATTATCGATTAACCCATTACCTGCCATGATCCCCATTTGGGGACCTGTTAAAATTAAACTCACTACATGTTATTCCTTGTATTTACATTGAATTGCTCATATACATCGCATTTGCAGAGGTATATTTTACAACACTTAGCCTTTAAAGTGTTTTATTATTAGCCGTAAGATGACACTTTCTGTCGTAATTTTACATTTTACGAGTAGAATAATAATGACTATTGAATAGTATTTTTTTATTATTATTTCTAATCAATATTATTTTTTGATGTTTTATACTCATATATATTTGATGTTCTAGTTTCTATAAAAACGACAATGGTAATTATTGAAATTAAACATAAGGGATAAATAATCTCTTAAGACACCGTCTGGGCCAAAAATGCGCATTTAAAAAATTTGGCAGTTAATGGGTTAAGCACTCTAGATTACGACACTTTCTTTCTTTTTTTTTTTTTTTTTTTTTTTTTTTTTTTTGTTAACCTTAAGAAATCCCGTGATGTGACATATTTTGTTTTGGTTTCTGTAATGTGATAAATTTACAATGAATTTACATAGCAAACAGAATCCTTCTTATTAACTTTTATAGAATTTAATAAATAAAAGGATATATTCGTGATCAGGCGTGCTAAGTGTAATATGAAAAATAATTTTGGAAAAAAATGATTATTTCTGATCGCAGAGTCATTTGTACAACTCCCATCCTCGTTGTTCACATGCACCGAAAAGAAAAAAATAATAACCCATAAGAAGTCACAATAATCGGAAACAAAACAAAAAATTAATAAGAAATGAAAAAAAACAAAACAAACAAATATCAAAAAAATATTTATATATACAGTGCTGTTCAATAAAAGTGACTCACCTAAATCTTTTACTTAAAAATTTTCTCACCTATTGTTTTTGGGGTCAAACTAATTTTTAATCTTACTAATATAAAGACCCCTTCCCGAACACATAGTAAAAAAGTTTACTCACCCTAAGGTATTCTATTGATAATTATAATTTTGAATATAAATGAGATTTAGGGAAAAAATCTGTGCAAAAAAAGTGACTCACTTATTTCCTGCAATTAGTAATCAATAGAAACATAACAGAACAGCTTTAAATAAAGAATAATAGAGGTATAATTTATTTATAATAGTTAATATAGTTCGATATATTTAATAATCTATGAGTCCTCCTTTATTTTGAATAACCTTTTCAACCCTTTTTGGCATTGACTTGATTAGGTGCTGGCAAATCTCATCTTCAAGCATTGAATTCCATTCGGATATCAGATTCACAATCAAATCCTCTTTGTTGCTCTACTGCTTTCTCGAGAGCCTGTACTTTATAAGGTTCCATAAGTTTTCTATGGGGTTGAGGTCAGGAGATTGGGGCGGCCATGTCATAACACTCACCTGCTTCTCATCAAAATATTCCTTCATCAATTTTGATTCATGACAGGGAGCATTATTCTGCATAAAAATGAGCTTGGTGGGGTCTATTTGCACCCTTTCAGCAGAAGGGAGCAGACAAGACTCTAAAAGTCTCTTGTACTGCTCGCTCCTGATGGTCTTTTCAATAGGTTTTAAGAAACCAGTTCCATGAAAAGAAAAACTATATATCTAACTTATCTTTAGTTTAAACAATATTTTCCTATTGCTTAATATTTTGTTTAGCTTCTAGAAAACATCTTTCGCTATTTCTATATTCGGATTTCTGTGTCATATCGTCTGTTATAACATTTCCTAGAGATTTATATTTTTTATATTTGCTTTATCTCCAATTTCTATGACTGTCCGTCTTGCTAACGATCATACATACTATCTTTTCCCAATTGATAGTTGGTCCTTTCTTCGCGCTTTCCCTTACTAGAAAGTATCTAGGTCCAGAAGTATATGCAATTTTTTAGGGTCCTCCAACAATACAGTATGATTGGCATTATATTGTTTCGATGGTGCCAAGCAGAAATAAATTCTAGTCCTCTCAGATTTGTCATAGGTTAAATATATACCGTGAGTAGACTATTTTTTGTTTTCCTTTTTTTGTATACTTGCTGAATTTATTTTCTCTCGCTTTTTTTTTTATCGTTTCACTACAATCAAGGAGATGATGCCGCTAGAACGCAGGTGGTTTAAAGGGAGTAAAGTTAAAACAGAACGAGAAGAGTGAAAATGGCGAGGCTTGAGAAAAGGGCCAAAAAGAAGAGAGATCAAGAAAAACAGAAGATAACGATTGACGTTAAACTTAATTTTTTTGAAGATTGTAGTTATCAGTAAAAAGAATCGGAAGGGATCTCCACTGCCGGGAAGTGCGAGAGAAGCTGTTGGAGTAGAAGTGGCCTTTGAATTTAGCTAGTTCAACAGTAAAACGGTGAGACCTAACTACCAATCTAGTAGAACGCTTAAATTCCAGATGTTGGTTTTGCATTCTTACGATTATAGCATGTGCAATTAAAAAAAGAAATATTTCATCAATCTCATGTCCAGTCCCCTCCATCTATCTGTGTTGAAATTAGGATACATAGTTATTCATGCATATAGTGGGTATGTAGATCTAGCAAAGCCCATCCCTCTTTAGGTTATACTACAGTCGATGTTTTCCAATTTGCAGGTTCTCCTTGATCACGGATACGTGGCTGTTGATACCGTCGGAGTTGGGTTATTGGCTCTGTCCGGGCTGTTTACTCCAGGCGTGTAATCACCGCACTGGCCTGCATAGATAGCTATGAAGACCAGTCTAGAACATTGTGCTAGATGGCCGTTGACCATACAAGAAAAGATTCCTCCGTCCGCTCACAAGTTTTGTTTTTAACCCTGCTCGGTGTCTAGCCATTCTCCTCACCAGAAAAGCCTGATGGTGGAACCGGTTTTAATCTCCGATGATCTGACCATTTGGCAGGTAGTAATGGGTTACATGTTTACGAGTCTCACTCGTAGAGTGACCTTAGATAATTAAATGTCTACTTTTATCCTGTTCTAGGAAAAACTCATTGCATTTGCTTCTCTTTTGGAACCGATCCAATAACTGACCAAAATGTTTTTCCGTCTTCTGATTCATTCGACGCTCATTTGTTAACAACTAATATTAATACACTTTCTTTGATTTAAGATTTTATGAATTAAGTGTACTAGCGTCCTCATATTTGTTGTTTTTATTTTCAATCAATTTCGGATTTATGCCACATTCGAATGTGCGGGTAGACCTGCTGTAACGATTAAGGATTCGGAGGGTTCGAATCCGGCCGAGTTCCTTATATTCACATTCTTAAAAAGGCTCTTGAACCCATCATTTCTCCGACTATCTATGGGTTCAAGTAGTTTTAAAAGTCGTTCGTAGACGTTTCCCAGCTATGGGTTAAATACCAGGACAGATTGGGTTCTTTAACCTTGGTTGGCAACCAGTCTACCACAGGAAAAAATAGCAACCTACTGAGGGAAAAAGTATTCTGCCTCGTCAGTCATGTATCATGCGTGGCACTTCCACGTTTAATTTTTGCTAATACTAATGAAGACATGCATAGCACTTCCACATTTAATTTTCGCTAATACTAATGAAGACAATCATGGAACTCTTCTTCTTCTGTGTGCCGTATACCTTCAGGACATAGGCGATCACGGATCTCGACAACGTCCTTTCCATTGTGGTACTTAACAGTTTATCTCTTGTTGCCAGAGCGTCCCTTCCCCCGTTCCGCCATCCGTTCACACAAGCTCATCAAGCTCACTGCACCCCCCTATCGCTCTTGCCCTCAATATGCCCCGTGAGGGTTAAGTTTTCCATGCTATCTTTCCTCATTATGTGTCCAAGGTACTTCAGCTGTCTTTTCCTGATTCTAAGTAGAAAAATTCTTTCTGTTGCCATTTTCTTTAAGACTTCCATGTTGCTTATCCGCTCCGTCCATGGAATTTTCAGTACCAATCTGCAGAAAAAACATTTCTGCTACCGCCAGCTTTCTCTTCATCCTCGGATTTGTCCAGCATTCACTACCATATAAGAGGATTGATATCACCTAGCAACCCAACAATTTTTTTTTCTAATAATTTTTTTCCATTTTTCAGTGCCTTGCTTAGCTAACCTAATACGTGTTTCGCTCTCGGTGTTGTATTTTCTGTTTCTGTTACTTTCTAGATATTTAAACTACTTCACCAGTTTGGTATTGACATCTCCTGTTTGTAACTCGCATCTTGGAATCTTTCTCTTCCTAATGGCCATACATTCTATCTTCTTGCAGTTGATGGTTAGTCCTTTGTTCTTTCTTTTACTAATCTGTGTAGGATATCCTGTAGTTTTCTTTCCAAGTCAGCCATCAACACAGTACCATCTGCATATTTTATATCGTTAAGATTACATCCACTGATACTACATTCTTGTAGGACCCCCAGTTCTCTTAGGATAGGTTGAATACATCTTGGGAGAAGATACATCCTTGTCTCACACCACTTTCTATTTTTGTGTAGCTACTCAATTTATTCCACATAATATATATATATATAAATCATAATAGATTACATATTATTGTGACGATGTGACAACAGCTTTATGAACATTATTGGGTTTTGCAAGATTGTTATTAGCCAGGTAACTGAAACTCCTGGAAACATTTTATTGTAATTAAAAATTATAATTGCACAATATACGCAAA